AGGTCAGGACCAGAGACTCCATCAACACCCGAACCTCGAGGTCAGGAGCAGAGGACCAGTATCAGGTGGCTAGGGAATGTCACCCGTCATCCACACAGCAGTGACAACACATCTGATATTAGAGAAGGGCTGTCACTGTGCTGTCTAGGCTGGGCATGAACTCCTGGGCTCATGTGACCCTCCTGCAGAAGTGGGGCTTACACAGACTAGAGAGATGGCCCAGTGGTGAACAGCACTAGGCGCTCTTACAGAAGACCTGGGTTCGATTCCCAGAACCCACGTAGGTTTCTCAAACGAGTCTCACAATCATCTGTAACTCCAGTTATAGGAGATTCAACCTCCTCTTCTGGGTCCTGAGGGCACCAGGCATGTACTCACATGCAACCAAAGTACTCAATACATATGAAATAAAATAAATAAATCTTAAAAAATTAAGATCGGACTTCCATGCTGGCATGTGCCGCTATGCTTGGCTCATCTCGTTGCTTTGAGAGTCAAAGACTACTGGGCTTGAATATGTGCCCGGGGTGGTATTTTTATGACAATTTTAATTATATTTTTAAATATACTTGACTTCTATTTATGTATGTGTCTGCCACATGTGCAAGTGTCCATGCAGACTGGAAGAGCGTATCAGATCCCCTGGAGCTGGAGTTACAAGTGGCCGTGAGCCACATGATTCGGGTGCTGGGAACCAAACTTGGGTCCTCTGAACACGCGGTAAGTGTTCTTAACTCTCAGGTCAGACCACTCCTTCGCACTTGCTGAGGAGCAAGGGTTCACACTGGGTCTGGCTGGCTCAGACCCACCATTATTCTCTTTCTCTATTGTTCCCTCCCCTAAGGACTCAGCACTGATGGGCTCGACAGGGACACTGCGACTGTGAGCCCCACTGGCTCTGAAAGTGGAACCTATAAGAATAATTAAATTGGGGCTGGACAGTGCCTCAGAGGTTAAGAGTATAGGCTCTCTTCCTTCCAGAGGACCCAGGTTCAGTTCTCAGCACCCACATGACAACTCAGCTGTCTGTAACTCATTTCAGGGGACCCGATGTCCTCTTTCCCTGGCCTCTTAAGGCAGCACACATGTGGTACATGCATACATGCAGGCGCACTCATGCATTAAAAATGAAATAGTAAATTCAAAAATGTATTACTTACATTAATTATCTGCTCACCCCAGGACAATAGCCAGCATTTAAAACTATCAAGCCCAATGGTGTGGGTGGGAGGTACTCACTTGGTACTGTCAGCCAGACTCTAGATAAATGTCTAGGGTTTCAGGCCCTATATCCTATTCCTAGTTCCATTATTCTTGACCCACCTGTAGCTCCCGAAGCTAAAAGCCAGAAGGACCAAGGGGAGACGTTCCCGCTGTGAACCTTTGAGGAACATAGCCCAAACTAAAGCTCGTGTCAGATTTCTGATTTCCAAACTTACCGATTGGTTCGTTGGTTTTGAGACATGATCTTGCTACAAGCCCAGGCTAGTCTTGAACCTGCTCTACCTGCCTTAACTTCTGAGTGCTGGGATTGCAGGCATGAGCCACCACATTCATGGAGATGTGTCCCAGGGGTCCTAGGAGGCTAACGCAGGTTTGGTGGCTGTTGTCTGATTTTTGTGTCACCACTGAGCACTCCTGACCCTCAGCCTCCAAGGACAACACTTTTCTTTCACCCGACCTACGACTCCTGAGCCTTAGACAGGTGGAGTCCCCACCCCTACTGCTGACTGCAATACCCTCAACCACCTTTAGAAAACCTAGAGGCTCATTTCAGGTTCAGATCTATCTCCCAAGTGTCACGGCAGCTCTAATTACCCAGAGACACCACCATCTGGACTCCCGGCACACCTAGAACTTAGCAAGTACAAAACAAGCCCATCTTCCTCCCGCCCACCTGACCTGCTCATTCCTAGTGATCCAGGAAGCCAGGCTCCTGCACTTCCCTTTATGTCTAGAACAGTCCATCAGATTGTTGTCATCAATTCTACCTGAGCTGCACTGGAAACTGTGCCCTTTCACCCACCGCTGCCTTGGAATACAGTTTTCTTCAAAAACTGAGAATGTGCTTTCATGCCCTGCCAGGTGTAGTAGATATCACTGAGTTCACTTCAGATTACTGATTACACCTGGCTATTGTTACTTGTTTATAGGCCTCCATGAAAAAACACGTTTTTGCTACGTGCAGCTTGCCTGCCTCGTGCAAAGGCTGACCCGCCATGTGCAGCTCGCCTTTGTGATTACTTTACCCATGTGACGCCTCCTGGCCCTCGGCATATAAACTGTACAGCTTCTCTGATGGCCGCTCACGGCCTCAGCTGCCTCTGGAACAGTCATCAGGACCCTGACACGGAACTCACTTTTTTTTTTTTAATTCTACTTTTCCCATAGTTGGTGGCACACCCAGGCACCGCCTTTCAAAGGAGTCGACACAGGATTCCATCAGTACTGACCTCGGTCCCCAGGTCCCCAAGATCCTCAGAGAGGCAGAATCACTTAGACACTTGTGTTCCCCAACGCATCCCCCCCCCCACTTAGCATCCGTTCACATCAGAAAACTCCATCCGACGGGCGACCCTGCTGCCGTGCTTAAATGTCGGATGCATGGCTCACTTCCTGCATCTCTCTGCTAGAAGGCAGATTTTGTGCTTTTAAACCTTTAATTTTAAAAAGATGTTATTATCATATTACTGTTACTGTTATCGTGAGTGCTTGTGTGTGACGAAAGGAAGAGCCATGGTATGCTCATGGAGGTCAGTCGATGGCTTCCAGACGTCAGTCCATCACAGACGGCACTAAGGTCGCCTGCCCAGCTGGCACAGCAAACACTTACCTATGCTGCTGTCTCAACGGCCCTTTAATTTTCTTCCTTTCTGGCTTCAATGTTCTGTTTTGTTTTGCTTGAGATAAAGTATCTCTATATAGTTCAGACCTGAAACCTGACATTCTGCTCTCCAGCCTCCCAACATCAGGTTACGGGCGTGTGCCAGAACGCTTAGCTCTCACACTTCCGAGTTTACGCCCAACTCCTCTGCCGGTTGCCTGCCCGTACCTGAGATCTCCTCTATGCTACTTGCACGCATGTCCAGAAGGACAGAGCCATTGATGAGGCAGCTCCTCAGCTCAAACAGGCTGTGCAGAGAGAGCGTGGCCACGTAAGGCTTGCTCCAACGCTCTCCCCCGTCCTCGACGTCCTCTTCAAACTTCAGCCACCTGCAAGCATTGCCAACAATGAGACGCCAGAGACAGAGGATGGGGGTCTGCAAGGCGTAAAACCTGAACTGTCACACTGAACACTAACACCCGGCTAACGTTCACACACACAGTACACGGAACAGCACGCTGTGGCACGCTGCAAATCTAATCCCTTTTTTATTCAAAGACAAACTTAAAATTACAAACACATATGTCTAAGGCCCAAATATATCCCTTGTTTTATCCTTAGACAGGAGGATTGAAGGTAACGGCCATTTTCTTTTGCTTATATTTGTTTTTAAATTTTTTAATATTAATTTTTATGTGCATTGGTCTTTTTTCTGCGTGTATCTGTATGACGGTGTCAGACCACAGAGTTACAGACAGTTGCGAGCCATGTGGTTTCTGGGAATCGAACCTGGGTCCTCTGGAAGTGCAGTCAGTGTTCCCAACTACAGAGCCATCACTCCAGCCTCTTAAAAATCTTTAGTTTTTAAATTATCTATAATAAGCATAGTTCTTAAAACTAACACTTGGACACACTGATGCCACAGTCATAAAATACCATTTTTATATCAGTGCTTTGTGTGACTTTAGAAACCCACAAAGACAAGCACGGAACACTCGCTGCCAACTGGTCTGCTTAACTCTCTGCCATGGAAAATGTCCACAGCAGTGCATGCATTGACACTGCACCACGGAGAGCCGGAGGCAGGCTTACTGCTCACAACATCACCCGAGAAGAGACTAGAGGCCAGCAGGCCTGGCCTGTGGAGAGGGGCTGCGGCAGGCAGGCGTCTGCCCGACCCTCACCTGGCCGTCTCCTTCCACTCGGCATCCTCCCCCTCCTTCATGCAGATCTCGTCCAGCTCCGTGAACAGCTCATGAGGGACGTGTTCCTCGTCTTCCTCAGTGCCAAGAATGAACTGAACACGCTGAGACGGGGTGTCTGGGAAACCAACCAGAGAGAGAAAGGTCTGCATGTGAACCAGCCTGCAACTCAGAACAAAGATAGCATTCTGCCTAGCAGCTTTGGGACATATAGAAGACACCCTGAATACAGGTTTAAGCGTTCCTTTGTTCTTAGATTAAAAAGCACTTCTGTGGAAGCATCTCCACAAGGGAGCAGAGTTGTCAACTGAGACCACCGGCAGAAGTCCCAGGAGAACCTAGAAACCAGGGCTGAAGAGAAGGCTCAGGTGTTAAGGACACTGGCTGTTCTTCTAGAGACCTGGGTTCAGTTCCAAGCACCTGCATGGCAGCTCACAACAGGCTGTAAGTCCAGTCCTAGGGGATCTGGCGCCCTCTTCTGGCCTCCACGCGCAGTGGGCATGCACATGGCACACAAACATAAAAGGAGGCAAAATGCCTGAGCACATAAGTACATAAGGTTTCATTGTGTTTTTAGTTTCCTAGCGATCCGACAAGTTTCAATCAAAAGAAATGGCTAATTCTCTAGCAAAGAAATTCTGGCAGTGTTGATTGCGGTGCTGAAATGTAAATTTTCAGGAAGGCATTTTTAATACTTAGAAGCATTCCTTCCTCTTGGGAACCTCAGGCAATGACTTTAAATGGCTATGCCCCTCCTGCACTGCCACGCCTCCCCACCATGGACCCCGTCCTCTCTCCCCAGTGTACTTCCCCCATCTCTCTCCAGGGTGTTACCGTGGGCCAAGGCTTCCGTGCCCTCCTCGCCCTGGCTGGCTCCTTTGCCCCGCCCTCCTCGTCTCCGGTGCTTCTGGCCATGAGTTCGGTGGTGCCTATGGCTCTGCCTCCCCAGCGGCATCCGAACCCCCACATACAGAGTTCTATGACCTGGATGGAAGCAGAAAACTCAGAGAGAACTCCTTCCACAAAAGGAGTCTGGCATGATTAAGAGCAAAAAGATCACAGGTTTTTGTACTGGTCACTTCTGGAACGATTAAACTTCATAGGCAACCCCCCACTCAAACACACACACCTAGGAGTTGTGTCTTCTTCTGTGCTGTACTTGGCTGAAACCTCGTAAGATATTGTGACAATCAAAGAATGTGTACATCGTTAATCGTACTACCTGTGAGAAAGTGCATGATGGCTGGGACGCGTGGGGAGGCCGAGGAAGCACGTGACCGTGACCGGCAGAGCAGGCCCTGTGTTAGGGCATGGGAAGGGGCGTGGCAGAACAGCTGAGCATGCGCAAGGGATGGGGAGCAGGAGGAGGTAAGGGAGGGAGGGGAAGAGGGCAGGGGGAGGGAAAGAGGGAGGAGAAAGAAGGGAGGGAATCTGACTTACAAGCTATGATTACATATGTTACTCATTGTTTATATATTACAGGGCAATGTGAGTGATGCTTGAAGAGACAATTCCTATAAGGTAACTGTGGCAGGTCTTGGCAGAGAGAGAGTTTAGAAAAGCGGTTAAGGCCAGTTAAGGTTCTAGTCAGCCTGCCCTGGGTTCAAAACTCCATTTCACCACTAGCTGTATGACATAAACAAGTCATCTGCTCTCTCTAGATTCTTTGTTAATTGTTGTTTTGCTTTTCTCTGCATAGTTCTGGCTGTCCTGGAACTCACTCTGTAGATCAGGCTAGCCTCGAACTCAGATCAGCCTGCCTCTGCCTCTTGAGTGCTGGGACTAACGGCGTGCGCCACCACGGCACTTGATTCATCTTTTTAAAAGAACACTAAAGCTTGTTTTTTTTATTAACTGATGGGGCTGTCAAGTAACTAGGACACTGTCTTCAACACCATGATGGCAGACCAGGCGGGGCCCAGCTTCTGCACGGGACCTACACCATGTAGACTACTGACAGACACGGTACGTCAGAAGGAATGAGGCTGCATTTAGGGACAGACATTAAAGCTAGTGCACAAAGAGCAGAGAACATGGAACATGATTGGCCCGTACCCCTCCTTTCTCGTCTCCTGCTCCCCGTTCCTCCTCCTATAAACCCCTCTGGTTTTTCATCTTCAACCTGACTTCCACCACCTTCTTCCAGCCTCCAGCTCAGCATCAAAGCTTCAGCCATTCCCAAACCTAATCCTCAGAGTCCTGTGTGCCGCTTCCACCCGAGTCCTGCTGCTCTGCGTCCAGACGGTCCCCAAGGCTCTCCCGGTCCTTGCAGGGAGTCCTTGAGTCCAATCTGTGCCCACTCCCTTCCCCCAGCTGTCCTTGCTTCTCACCTCTGTCCTTGCTTCTCACCTCCGCTTGGAAGGCAGGGCCCTCCTGTGGAGACTGACTCTTCCCTGTCCCACCCCCTGCACGAGCTACCCTCATTCCCTCTCTGTCCATCCTTCCATGGCTGACCTTAAGAAGCCATCCCACTGACAAGCTGCCTGACCCCGTCTTCCCCTCTCCTTCCTTCCCCATCAGGAACTTTAGGTGCACAGTTTTGCAACCTACTTTAATAAGGGTCCAACCTCTCCTCTAGCCCACCACCCAGCATAGGATGTGGAAGAGAAAAGTTATCAGGATGTGGGGGAAGATGACCTGTTAGCAATAATTCTTTGGGGGTGAGATCAATCTTCTTTAGTAGCAGTTAGGTCACATGGCAAACACCAAACACCACCCTCCCTCCCTTTCCTCACCAAATTCCTGTTCCTCGGCCTCGCTCAGACTGTGGCGTCTGTCCCCGCCCCCTACTAAAGCAGTGCTCAGTCAGGGCATCGGATGGCACCCACTCACCCTATCTCTGTCACAGCATATTTCTCAGTTCCACAGACTCTGTGGAGAGCCCACCACGTGTCAGGCCCCCTCTTCCTTGGTGTTCAGAGCTCCACTGTGTCTGACAGCAGCCTTCAGATGCCGACAATCCACCACCACAGGGAGGGGTGACCCCTGACCCTTGTTCTCTTCTTTAGTGGCACCCATTCTTTGGGTTTCAAGCTCACGTCCACACATGACCCCCACACCCCTTGTTTTGAATCTTCTTATGTATCCTAGCTTGGTCTCCCGGGCTGGCTCCGTCCAGTTCTCCTGCCTCGGTCTGTGATTACAGGTATATGCCACCATGCATCTTCCAATCTCTCTCTACAGAGCTGGTTCTCAGCCTTCCTAACACATTAGCCTTGAATACAACTCATGTTGGGATGACCACCAACCATAAAACAAAAGAACAAACAAAAACTCCATTATCTTTGTTGCTACTTTATAACTGTAATGTTGCAGCTGTTATAGACTGTAAAGAGAACACCTGTGTTTTCCGGTGGTCTTAGGTGACCACTGTGAAAGGGTCGGTCACCTCCACAAGGGGGTCGACACATACAGGCTGAGAACCACTCACTCATCTATCGCAATTAACATGCCCAAAACCAAACTGAAGATCCTGTAAAGCCAGGCTCCCTGCAGGTGTGACGCCTCACCTAGGTTGGCTAAACGCTGGAGGTCAGTCTGGGCCACTGGGTGAGTGTCAGTTTCTACGTCTATGTTCATGCTGCCGTCACTGTGTGAGACCCTTGGTGGCTGCACACACGGCTCAGCAGTGAGAGACTCTCGCTGCTCTTGCAGGGGACCTGGGTCTGCTTCCCAGCACACTCACAGTGGCCCACAACCGTCTGTCTCCAGTCCTCGAGGAGCTAATGAGCTGTGTCGGGCCTGTGGAACTGCACACCCAGTGCGTAGTGCACAGATACACCCGCGGTCAAACACCCATACACAAAATAAAAATAAATACGTCTTTAAAAAAAAAAAAAAACTCTCGCCAGGCAGTGGTGGCACACGCCTTTAATTCCAGCACTTGGGAGGCAGAGGCAGGCGGAGTTCTGAGTTCGAGGCCAGCCTGGTCTACCGAGTGAGTTCCAGGACAGCCAGGGCTACACAGAGAAACCCTGTCTCAAAAAACAAAAATCAAAACAAAAAACAAAAACAAAAAAAAAAACTCTCTGGCTTAGCCAGGCAGTGGTGGCAAATGCCTTTCATCTCAGCACTCAGGAGGCAGAGATGGACAGATCTCTCTGAGTAGGAGGCCAGCCTGACCTTCAAAGTGTCCTGAGAGCTGCCAAGTCATAGGCTTCCTTCACTCGCCATGAGTTTCTGAGACTGCTCATCCTCCACAGTGTGCGCCCCACCATCCAATGTGCTCAGGGGCCTTGGGGCTACACTAGCATCTGTCTAGTTCTCCTTTTCTTTGTAAAACAAAATCAGCGGCACAACAGCGCCTAGCCGACTTGCTGAGGCGTGTCAGGGCATGGGGAGACTGGGAGAATGCTCTCTGGTGGAAGTACACACCTCCTCTCCTCCATCTCAAGACTGTCATACATATCAGAACACTTTGGACCGGCAGATTCCTGGATGTAGAAAAGAAACAGCACAAGTGGCCTTCTGCTAAAATGTAGGATTCCAGGCTGCCTTAGCCAGGTGCCTACTGCGGTGAGAGAGCACCAGGACCCACAGCAGCTCAGGGAGGAAAAGGCTTCTCTCTGTTCCGGCCTCCACATCAAAATCCATCTTCAAAGGAATGGAGGCAGGAGCTCAAGCCTGGCAGGAACCTGGAGGCGGGAGCTGGTGTGGAGGCTGTGGAGGAGGGCCGCTCACTCTTGTGTCTCGTGACTTGCTCAGTTTTCTTATGATCCACAACTACCTGCCCAGGGGTGGCACCGCCCACAGTGGGCTAGTCCGGCCCACAGCAGTCACCAGTCAACAAAATGGCGTACAGACTGGCCTACAGGCCAATCCTATGGTGGCATTTTCTCAGCTAAGATTCCTTTTTCCCAGATGACCCTACCTCGTGTCAAGCTGGCATAAAGCTAAACAGCTCAAATCTCTGGCATTATCAGTATGTCCTGTAAAGTACGAGTATTTTAAATGAATATTTATTTATGAGTATTATCTATTACTAATAACATTCCACCCTAATATACCAGTGAAGTCCGCATAGCACACCTCTGAAATCACCCATGGTGGCACTGGCAACAGAAAGGCATCACCTAATTGTGCCAGGTTCTGTCCCAACAGCTAGAATATGCCCAGTCTTCAGGGAAGACGATATAATGAAAACTAAAAGATACTCTTTCAAGTATAACTGATTACTTTAGACTGAAGAGCTACTGTGTCGGGAAAGGAAAAATTAGAGAACATCAGAAGGAACCTCCTGAATGAGAAAGAGGAGGTATGGGGCGGGGTGGGGGTGGGCTACAGGAGAGCGGGACATCAGAGGGAAAGTTCAGCCTCCGAAATGGTGGCTGGAAATCTGGTGTATCTTCGCAGAGCTGGACTTAGGGAAAGGGCTGAGGTCACTCAGACTTCGCTAAGCCGTCTCAACCACGTGCTTCCTCTTTTCCCAACAGTTTGGCTATGACTATGGCTTCTCTTTGAACATGTTCTGAACACCCCCAGTGCACCCACTCTGGAAAACTGCTAGCATTATTTAATTGCACCTACATTCTCAAGAGAAAAGAACTAGAATCCATTATCGGGCCTCATCTTGTTGACTAATGTACCCACTGAGACTATCACAGTAAAGCAAGGAGGACCACGGACTGCCAGTCTTGTCTCGATGTCTTAGAGAAGGTCCAGGCATGGCCACCCTCGGGGCCAATGCAATGCTTCAGTTGTTAATCTCAGTGCTGCAGACGGGACCACACTAGGGCTCTGCATGTTACTGCGCACACAGCACACGATCTGCCTCAACAGTTAAATCCTCCAGGCAGGTCGGGGCATAAAGAGACAGACGTCTTTAGATGCCTTTGCTGGTTCTGTAGGAAAAAGGAAAAGCATCCATCTTTGAGGAGATAGATACCGCTCCCTTTCTGCCTGTTGAAAACACCAGAAAGACATGAAAAAACTGAAACCTCGTTCAGCGGGGTTGGAGCTAAGGACCAAATGGCTGTCACAAAACTGCCTGTCTGTTTCTGAGCCAGAGATTCTGAACCCAGGACTTAGATTTTCTGAGTAAAATTAGCAGAACAGACAGCAAACAGACACCAGAAAATAAAGCCCGAGCTGCCTAGCTGGATTCTGGCAGTCCGACGACCCCACCAAACTAACTCTATGGTCACCTCACTGGCCATCTAACCAGGCAGGCTCCCACTGCCCAGCCCACCACCTCAGCCAACACGGTTCCTTCTTATCCGGCCTCTCATTCCTCTCCCCAGTCAGTGTTAGGCCAGTCTGCTGAGGCTGTCAGCATGCTAATAAAGCACCTGGCTCAGTATGATTTGTAGGAAAGATGTTGATGATGTTTTTAAATTAAGAATGTAGAATGTGTACACATACACACACACACACACACACACACACACGCACGGACGCACGCACACACACACGAGCAGCCATGAATGAGACACTGGATCTTGGGAGCAGAAGAGAAAGGGCAGGCCTGAGTCACCCACAGACACTACCCCGTGCGCTGTCTACTGAGTGCTCGCACGCAGCTCCTTCATGTGCACTAATGGGTGCTCTGCTCCCCTGGGCTTACAGGGCGACTCCAAGTCAGTAAGCACGGGGACATCTTCCGTGTGGAACACACGCAAGCCTCTTTAAAGTTATAAATATGACCAAGTGGGTCTTGCCTTTGTTAAAAGTGTATTAGAATTCATTAAGCTGATGTCAGGAACCATAAATCTAGTACTTAATCAGGAATAATGGCCTGCCAGAACAAGTGGGGAAAGCCATTCCTCTAGCACACACAAGTGCCCTGCCGCCCACGGGGGCTGAGAGAACCCACCCTCTGAGAGGCACAACGCGCTGTCGCTCTGAGGTCATCTCCAGGAAGCCCTTCTCACATTTGCTCTTGACTCTTCTGCTTACTAACTCTTACTGAGGGAATCAGCTCACTCAAAAAGACCCATACTTACTGTCACCAGCTTCTTTTAGAATGGTGTAAGGGAACGTGGCTAAGTATACAAAATAAAGGGCAAGAAGACATGAGATTGTAAGCCGCCAGGGAAGCCTGAGAGACGGCATGTGTCTCACTCAGAACAGTTCATGGCGTCCTCCTTTAAAGCTGGGCTGAGTTGTGTTCCCCCCCCCCCCCGTGTGCCTTTAGGAGACACCGCCATGCAGCATGCAGCTTCTTAAAGTCCTGCAATTACACGTCAAGGTGAGTCTGGGTGGGACCCGTAGCATACCCAACCCTTAGAACCCTCCAGTCCCTCTCCTCTCCTTTGGCTCTGACATTTCAGGACTGGGCAGGGGGACCATCGGGTCTTCATTTGCCTGTAGTGGAGTTTAAGTGTTAACAGAAGAGATTCAAATTTTCAACAAGATCTGGTCGTAAAAGGCCATTTCCCAGCACAGTGCCCTCCCCTCCAGCAACATGTCATCCTCCAGCTTTCTTTTCCAGCAGGGTAGAGCATGCACCAGGAAGGGATGACATCATCTGGAGATGCCGCTCCCAGCAGCTCCTCAGCTGACCTTGATGGGCAGACCTGGCCTTCGAAATCCAAGAGAGCCTGTGGGAGTTCATTACACGGTTCCCAAGTACACAGAAAATACTCATACATGTCCTTCTCAGCAGAGGGCTAAAGTCCACAGGGTAACAGCCAGAGGACCACGGAGCTGCTAGCAATACACACTGGTGTACGTCACAGACAATGTCTGCACCATGTAGCAGGCCGCAGAGGCCGGACGGTGAGGTTAGATCTGCCCGCTCTGCAGTACAGCAGGGTGAAGAGAGGATTCCATGGGTAACCCCTGCCATCCAACAGTTCCCACAGCTAAAAGAGGGTAAGAACACCAGCACATGGCTGAGGTGCTGTGAGGACGAAGTTAGGTTTTACGTTTAAATTACTATGCTTAAGAGGTCTATAAACAAAAAAACCTCTAGCCTGTTAGCCCAACAGCACAAAGACAGACAATTTCCTCAAATGCTGGGGGCTGTTCACATAAGATAACAAGCCAGCATTTGTTTGCTTCTGTAAACAAGCTTGGTTATCCCAACTAAACCAGCCGGCTTGATCACATGCAGGCAGGAGGTACACGGGCAGGAAGCACCTCACAATACACGCTTGCCTCCTATTGGATGTAGGCAGGAAATAAGCAGCCTTGTGGGCTTTGCCTTTTTAAGCCCCTGGCTAATGTACTTCCATGCCATACTCTGAGAATCTGGGTATGGGTTCGTCAGTGTCCATTGTTCTGGCCAGAATTTAATAAAGCTTGGCTCAAAACTGAGGTAGTGATCTTCCCGTCCGGTGGGGTTAACAGACTACAGAGGAGAAGGAGAGTTGGTGTACAGTGCCTGACTCTCAGAGGCCCTTCCGCCACAGCAGCCCCACCCCCAGGCCCACGCCCACCTCACACCTCACACACTTCTGCTCCCACTTTCTCCATCCGCTCATCCATTTGGCCACAGTAACTTACAAAACGTGACCTTGACCTTCCTAACACCACTGACCTGCCCGCCGCCCGCCGCCCGCCGCCTGCCGCCTGCCACCACACGCATTTCCAGGGAACAGACCCAGAGGCTGAGTCAGCCTCCCCAGCTTTCCTCCGTTTCCCATCCAAAGGCTGAGTTTTCTCTGGGGCCTGGACCAGTTTGATGTAAAACCCACGGTGGGAACAGGCAGTTCGGAGAGAACACATCATTGCACGCTGAGTCGGAAGCCGCACCAAAGCAGTGAGCGGGCAAGAGAGGCCCAGCCACCTCTCAGACGGAGAGACAGACTCGGCTCCTTATTAAAGCCGCACCAGACAAGAACCTTCCTCAAGGGTAACAGAATGCCACCACTAATGAGGAACCATGATTAGGAATCCAACCAGCCCCTCCCCCTAGCCCCCAGGATAAAGGAACACAGGACACCACAGAACAGTCCAATGAGAGGCTGGGGACTGCCAGGGAACAAGAACGGCCCCTCCCCCTTCCATCTCACTGAGGTTTTATATGACGTTGTACTGTGAACTCTCAGAGTTTGCTTAGATTTTTTTTTAAAAGAAAATCAGGTAGAACTGTGTAGTTAGAACAAAATATCCAGTAGTGAAAATGCGTTAAAAAATTACAGCCAGACTAAACTTGTTAAACTACTGATATTTTATTTTCTTTTAAATTTGTGTAGATACTTTACATTTCCATGTGAATATTTAAAAAACTCGGTAAGCTAAATGAGTATCTCACATCCTCGAAGAAAAGGTTATTGTCAATGCTTATGTCGAGCGTCCCAGTTCCCTGAGTCGCACTGTCTCAGGCCTCAGGTGAGCCGACTGGACAGGTGGGTACATGATCCCTGCTTTTTTTTTTTTTTTCTTTGTAGAAGACAAGGGAACAAGAGGCTAAGGAAGTTAACTGTTTCCCCCACAGAGTCTCTCAGACAGAAAGAAGGAGTCATGGCGTGAACCCAGGTATCCTAAGGGCAAGGCAAGTCTGACCCCCCTGGACTTACCTTCCAACTCTTCCTTCTCATAGTGAATGTTGAGGATTGTGCTGGTGCCACCCTGATCCACCACAGCTTCCTCATCTGCTCTCTGTTTAAAAACAGATATGCAAATAGTCACAAAAATACACAAATATCCATTCATCCAAATACTTCAAACCAGTGTATACTAAGATGCTCTGAGACACGCAGAGAGGAAACGCGCTGGCTTACATATATTCTTAGAACCACATAGTAACCTTGAGATGCAAATATGCCGGCCAGCCATCCTCTTTCCTGTTTTGTGAGTAGCCAGACCTAAAGCACATTAAATAACCGTACCCAAAGTCACAGAGACACTGGGAGAAAATAAGGCTGAGCCGCTCTCGTCCTTTCAACCGACCCCAGCCACACACCTGCAGCCACACACCTGCAGCCACACACCTGCAGCCAGCACACCCACAGCCAGCACACCTGCAGCCAGCACACCCACAGCCAGCACACCTGCAGCCACACACCCGCAGCCAGCACACCCGCAGCCACACACCTGCAGCCACACACCTGCAGCCACACACCTGCAGCCAGCACACCCGCAGCCAGCACACCCGCAGCCAGCACACCCGCAGCCACACACCTGCAGCCACACACCTGCAGCCAGCACACCTGCAGCCAGCACACCTGCAGCCAGCACACCTGCAGAGCCATTTCGAACTTGGTAAACACCAGCAGGCCTTGAGAGGTGACTGCCCCTCACTTCTGAAGTAACCCAGCCACCAACTTTTATGTCCTAACGGCATACTGTAATTCCAGTTAGTAATGATATATCTATGGGGTGTGTATATGGGGAGGCAGCTCAGTGATTGAGAGTGTGTATACTCTTGCAAAGGACTGAGTTCAGTTTCCAGCTCCAGGAGATCTGACGCCCTCTTCTGGCCTCCTTGGGCAACTGCACTCACTCAGGCATACCCATACACATATAAAAAGCAGACAAAACAAAAAAACAAAAAACAAAAACCCACAAGAAATAACCCGGGTGTGGTATTTCATGCTTTTAATCTCAGCACTCAGGAGGCAGAAGCCAACCTGGTCTCCAGGGCAAGCTCCAGGTTAACCAGTGCTGCACTGTAAGGCCCTGTCTCAAAATTAAAAGAAAACACATCTTTTAAAAAGAAATGCTTTAAAACAGAAATGTTCATACCATGTGTGCTTAGTAAGTCTTCCTTAAAAGGATGGCTGTAATTTCAGACCCTCCCACCTCACTGGACTGACTTTATCCAGACAAAGCATGCTTCACATGGTCATAAACGGCTCTCCTGTCCTGTGTGCAACTCCAGTCAGGCTCCTGTCTCCCAGGGATATGGGCACATCCTCACCTCTGCATGGCCTTGCTTACCATCAGGCCCTCACCCTCCCTCCAGGTATGGCTCAGATCCCCAACTCACTCACTACACCCTGTCCCTCTATGCCCCCAAACACAACACTGAAGGCAGGCAATCTATCTCCACAATGAAAGAATATTTTTAATGAGGTGAACTTAAATAATTTTTTTAGAGAAATAGAATGTCAAATGTCAGTTAGAGTAATTAACCTGATAATTTACTTTCATAGGTATTTAAAAATACATATTATTTAATCTCAGCACTTGGGAGGCAGAGGCAGGTGGATTTCTGAGTTCGAGGCCAGCCTGGTCTACAGAGTGAGTTCCAGGACAGCCAGGGCTACACAGAGAAACCCTGTCTTGAAAAACCAAAATAAATACATACATACATACATACATACATACATACATATTATTACCACAATGAAAAATATCTCCAAGATAGAATAGTAAGTTTGGAGAGCAAAGTGGAAAAGAAACTGATTTGCTACACTTTGTCAAAGAAAAGGAGATGGAGCATAAACGCTTGATTATACTTTGGAATAAAGTGTCTAGAGAGATGGCTCAGTGGTTAATTCAATTCCCAGCATCCACATGGCAGCTCACAACCATCTGTAACTCCAGGTCCAGGGATTATAGCGCCCTCTTCTGGCCTCCACAGGCACTGCATGCATATGGTGCACAGTCATACATGCAAGCAAAACACCCGTCCTTACACATTAAAAAAATAAAATAAAATATTTTTTTAAAAAGAATACGTTACAAGAGCTTATTTTTTAAAGCTACTTACAGGGAACAGAAAAATAAGACAGAAGCACAGGGACAGAAGGCAGATTTCTTTGAATATCTTATTTTATAAATATTTTATATATGTTCTAATCAGGGATGGAGAGATGGCTCAGTGGTTAAGAATGCACTGCTCTTCCAGAGGGCCCAGGTTCAGGTCCCAGCAACCACCTCACATGGCTGAAAACTACAGTAAGTCCAGCTCCAGGGAGCAGCACCTACTGGCCCCACGGGAGTCCATACACACACACACACACAGAGAGAGAGAGAGAGAGAGAGAGAGAGAGAGAGAGAGAGAGAGAGAGAGAGAAAGGGCAGAGAGAGACAGAGAGAGACTTCCACAGGCAGGAACACTTCTACAGGCAGGAACACCCCAACACACACACACACACACACACACACACACACACACAGAGGCATGCACACGTCCATAGGCAGAAGCACCCCCCCACACAGAGGTATACACACTTCCATAGGAACAAGCACACGCAAACACACACACACACACAGACACACAGATACACATAAATTAAAAAGGAATTCTAAAATAAAAAACAAAACAGAGACAGATGTGAAATTGGTGGTGTGCCGATGTCAGAATCTATTCACAGTACCACAGTGCACGGGCTGGGGACAGGCTCCAGGTCGGTTCCGGTGAGAACCAGGACAACGTGTCTAAGCACCCCCAGTCAGAACAGCAGAGAGGAACCACAACAGGGAGCATCGGGAGCTGTTCTTTCCTTTTTGGTTTTGAGAAGAAGTCTCACCCTGTAGCTCGGGCTGGTCTAGAACTTGCTCTGCAGCCCAGGCTGGCCTCTCAGTGTGTGGGGATTAGTGTGAGCTGTTGAGTCCAGCCTTTACTCACACTATCGGGTGTAGTCCCGGTGCTGGGTGTCTAAGTGCACTGCGTGGTACAACCGTATCCAAATGGAAAACAACAGAACTCTCGGTTCTGCTGGGGGAAAAAAAAGCAGGTGTCTGCAGCCACAGTGGAGGACAGCTTCTTACAAAAACATGTTCTGTTTTTTCTTTTTTGGTTTTTCGAGACAGGGTTTCTCTGTGTAGCCCTGGCTGTCCTGGAACTCACTCTGTAGACCAGGCTGGCCTCGAACTCAGAAATCTGCCTGCCTCTGCCTCCCAAGTGCTGGGATTAAAGGCGTGCACCACCACTGCCCGGCACAAAAACATGTTCTTATTTTGTGATATATTGTTTGGTATTTACCACTAAAACTGAAACTTAAATCCACACAAAATCCTGAACATAGATGTTCACAGTTCAACTCATAACTGCTGAATACTTAAAAGCCACCAAGATGTCCCTCTAGATGAACACACAAACTGTGATCTCAAAACTCAGGAAGCTGAGACAGGAGGATCACTAGTTTTAGGTAAGTTCTTTTAATAAAAACAAAAAGAGCTAGAAAGAAAAAGAAAAAAGAAGAAAAGAATATTCTGTGTACTGCGTCACCCAGTCCTATGACATTCAGGAAAAGACAAAACTATGGAGACTTAAAACCCAAGAGTCCTCCCGGGGCAGGGGGAGGGGCTTACAGTCCAGTGCAGAGGAGTTTGGGGCAGGGTACGACACTAAGACCCCGCCCTAATGTAAGATACGGACATAGCCTTAGCATGACAGCTGCTCCGGGGGTGGGAGGAAGGGCTGCACGGGAACTTCCTGTCCCTCCCGTATAGTGCTGTGAAAATAAAGCTATTACAAAATCTCTAAAAATCACAACAAATGTGACCTATGGAAGAGAGGTCCGCTGATGAGGACCTGCAGCGGAAGAGAGAGAGAGCACGCCAGTGCAGCAGGAGAGAGAGAGAACACCAGTGCAAAGGAAGAAAGAGAGAGGGCACCAGTGCAGCAGCAGGAGAGAGAGTGCGCACCAGTGCAGCAGGAGAGAGAGAGGGCGCCAGTCTTGCCCTTGATGTGCAGAGGCCTCTCCAACACTTTAGAGACACACTGAAGTATTTTCAGATAAAATTCATACTGTATTCACAAATGAGGCAGACAGACAGCTGTGAGTGCAAGGCCAGCCTGGGCTATATAGTGAGTACCGGGCCAAGAACTCTACACAGAAAGACCCTGGAGAGGGGCAGGGATGAGGAGGGGAAGGAAAAGCCTGGTTTGACGTATGTGGTATTATTTTACAACATTCCAAGTCCTCAGGCAAGGAACCATTTTTAAGTGAAAATAAAAACAAAAAAACAGGAACAAAACAAACGACCTGTTCTGCTTACCGAGCCTATCAGTCCATGAGTTCCTTTCTTCTTTCTCTATTTTTTAAGACAGGATCTCAGTGTGTAGCCCTAACTGGCCTGGAATTCAGAAATCTACCTGCCTCTGCTGGGCTTAAAGGCATCCACCACCACACCGGACATAGACCATGAGCTTCTCACAGCTGGAAGCATGTGTCTTTCGTTCTCGAGCATCTCTGACAGGCCAGCAGAGCTGCCTACACTGTCTGCGGCATGCACTCCTGTGAGCAGTGTGCACCCCTGTATGCAGTGTTCACCCCTGTGAGCAGCGTGCACCCAGGTAAGCAGTGTACACCCAGATAAGCAGCGTGTGCCCTTGTGAGCAGCGTGCGTCCCTGTGAGCAGTGTGTATCCCTATAAGCTCTGTGGAAAGCGAAGGGAAACACAGAGAAGACAAGATGGTGGTGTGTGTGTTCACTGTAGATGCCAAGTCATTGATACATGATGATTCATTATGCAAATATCTCTCCTTTGATATACATTTGAAATGTTCCCCAACTTTCAAGCATATGCCAAGTTTGTTTGAAATTGTTCAATTGAAAAGGAAATCTCAGACCTCTTGGTCCATGCTTGCAGCGGGTGCCACAAAGGTTGGCTCTCTTTGCCTCTGCAGCCATCACTATCTCTGGAAGCAGGATTTATCAACGTGTAGTTTGTGACCTTCTAGGATACCACTGGAGCGGGGAGAT